TGCCACATTCTCTGACGGAACAGAACAAATCTCGATCGTGTTTCTGTTACGATAACTTTTGCGCTACGATAAAGAGCTGATTTTGATTAGTATTTTCTCAGGCGATTACAAATCGATCCTTTATGACAACGTTCAACACAAACGGAGCCGGAATAAAATCTTGTGAATATGCAGAACTCGTGGCGAACGCCAGCTTTCATCCAAGGTTTTGCTGTCCGTTCGGTTGGGATTTTAGAGGGATAATTCACTGTGAGTTTCCTCCAGTCGGCGAAAAAAAAAAAAAAAACTGCCAAGAAGTATTGCGACCATATCATCAATGTCAATGCACCTATTCAATAAAAACGTCCGATTTTGGCTAATCGCAAAGGTCCCATTTTTCACCACCACATCGCAAGACCACTTCTTGCAAAATAGACATTGCAGAAATTTTAAAGAGTTGAAATGAGAAATCCGCCAGCACCCACCATATTCTTCGTATTTTCATTTGTTGAGGTCTCTACATAACTGTTTAATAATTAACTCTCTACTGACCGTGGACAACTATTTTAAATAAAATCTCCCCTAAAAAACCAAAAAAAAACCCATAGAAAACACGAAGTTTTTACGTAAATAGCATCAACAAGATTGTAGGAGTTTGGCAGCCATTTCTTAAGAACAACTGTGTACTGGACTAATACATTTTTGTGGGTAAAAATTTGTTTTTAATTTTCTAATCGGACACGAGGTTTTGCACTGATCTAATAATGTAATCAATTAATATAGAGAAGGACGTTATTATTGATTTTTATTAAATCTGTATATAGTAAATTTTGTTTAAACTGTAATCTATCATACTTTATTGTTTAGCTATCCCAGATTTTCATTATATTTTTCTAAATGTATTCTTATGCCTTTTTTCTATATTTTTTTTTTTTTTTTTTTTTGCAGACGGTGAGTTCTTCGCCGATATGGAAGGTCGGGAGTGTGTCAATTGCGGAGCCATTTCTACTCCCCTCTGGCGTCGAGACGGAACTGGTCACTATCTGTGCAACGCGTGTGGCCTTTACCACAAAATGAACGGCATAAACCGGCCCCTTATTAAGCCGCAGCGCAGATTGGTAAGGGACACAACTCTACCGTACGCTGCCAGTTTGCAATCGGTAATTAGGCGTCAAAATTAGTTACCATGAAAATCCTCCCTCTCCTAACCACTACCCCAAATTTCTACCCGATTCTTGTTCTTGCCTGCTTCCATATTTCTCTCGCCTTTATCTCCCATGTTTTATTCGTGCGAATGAGTATCTTTGTGATTTTTATCGAGTTCGGTATTTCCTCTGGTTAAAACAGATTAGAATATCAGAATGATATATATATATATATATATATATATATATATATATATATATATATATATATATATATATATATTGGGATATATGTCAGATTAAAAATAAATCAATTATAAGATTTTTGAAGAATTTTTGTTTACGTTTCGGATGCGAGACTGAGCAGGTCTGGATATTCCAGAAAATATATCTGAAAGTGGAAGTGTGGTTTCCTTAAAAGGGAAAATAGAGCCTTTCCGAACGGCGACCTTCTCTGTAGCCGAGGGCTTAAAGCAGGACGGGTCAAACGATGGTTTCCAAACATTACAACGTGCGATACAAGTTTCCGGAGAATACCTTTTCCTTATTAATATTTATCGAATGCGCCGGCCGCGTTGTGTATTAGACACTGTTTGAAATGAAAATGTTATAATATGGGTTGTCTATTTCAAATAAGTTATATTTATATATATATATATATATATATATATATATATATATATGCATATTTCATTGAATACGACAGACAAGGTATTTTTTTTTATATTTTTTATACAATTTCTAATGCGATCTAATATTTTTTTCTCTTTGGATGATAAATTATATAAAACTGTCGAATATTTTTTTTATAAAAGAGCTTTCGGCTATACATTTAGCCATTTATAAAGGATTAAATATTTTAACTGTTAATTTATGAAAAAGTTTGTTGCATGTATGTTTTATAAAATTCGTAAATAACTATATAGGCCACACCACAAAAAGTTTGGCACGCAGACTCACTCTACACCTTTCTGACTATAGCTCAATTAGATCTCATTTAAATATTCATTTAGACCCACCGGACACTATTCGTAACATACTTGTTGACAACACTAATATAATAGCATCATCTACATGCATAAAGGCTAAAAAAAGGAAGCTAAAAATAATAAAAGCCTTATTAATAAAAAAAAAAAAAAATCAACCTTAATAATATTAACATTTGAACATGGACACAAATATCTTGACCGTGTTTTGAAAAATGAAAAACATTTTATAAAACATACATACAACAAACTATTTCTTATTTAACAGTTAAAATATTTAATCCTTGAAAATGGCTAAATGTATAAATAAAAGCGCTCTGGAAAAAAAAGAACATTCGGACAGTTTTTATATAATTTATCAAATATATAAAAAAAAAAAAAATTTAAATAAAAGCACCTTGTCTGTCGTATTCAATGAAATGTGCATGAAGATATATATATATATATATATATATATATATATATATATATATATATATATGGGAAGATAGGAGAGAAACAGATACTTATATATATATATATATACATCAGAGCGTTAAATAAAAATTTGTCACAAATATTTTCTGCATCTAAAGGCTAAGGACACCTTTTCCAGAATTACATAAATTTACGATGATATTTTCTGGGAGTTTACGTATTTTTATCGCCTGATTCTCGTTGAATGCATAATTTCACAAACTATTTGGAAAAGTATTTTCCCCGTTGCTCTTATCACAATGTTTGCTATGGCCGTCAGGTCTTCCGCAGAAGAAACGAGATCCGGTGTTCTTTCGAAATTAGTTCGTTTATATATTTTTATAACCTCAATGGAAAAAAAATTGCTGGTTGAATAATAATAATAATAATAATAATAATAATAAGTAGAACAAAAACAAGAAGAACAAGAAGCGTATTCCTGAAATTAGTGACCCATGCAAATCTGTAAGAACGGAATTTATGAATGGGCGAGCTAGACTTGACGTAACAAAAATGTAAAATGCCATCTAATAGAGATGAGACTCTCAAGGCATTAAATTTGCTAATAAAATATATAACAAAAATTATGAATGTGGGGCAGCGGAGATTCACTGAGAACAATGCAAACGATTCGTAATTGGCCATAGAGTTCAATGTTATGCTCAAAGCTCTGAATCTGTCTTAAATAATGAAAAACGTAAAATTCTTTGGATTTGAAAATTCAAAGGGATCAACAAATCCAAGTTAGAAAGAGCGGCGATTGTCACTGCAAAGAAGAACATTGGTCAAAGGATAGGCCATAGACTGACAGGAAGTAAAAAGGTGGAATATAGATACTACTTAAGTGTGGTGGTCCACTCGTTTAAATGAGAAAAATTAGGGAGGGAACAATTTTTGTAGATTAGCATTTTTTAGACCTTTCTTAGACCGCGAGACTTTTTAGAATCGAAAAATATTGATTTAGAATTTACTTGTAAAATCGATCCCGGTTTGAAGAATAAGACAGTGAAGGCAACTTGGTAAACCTATATAGGAAGCTGGAAACAAAATAAATTGGAGATTATTTAATCGAACTGAGTTAGCTGATTTGAAGTTATTTCTATATTAATCCCAAGTTAGGTGCTGTTTTTATCAAAAGCTGTCGCCATAATACACACATTTGGCTTTCGTCCATGTGTCTGGTATACATTCATTAGACTGTGTGTCCTGATGGCTATACGTACCTAAAACGGTAAACTTATTTTGCAAGTGGAAAAATACCCACCGAAAGAGGGGCGATTAGAAAGTTAAAGAACTCTGAAGTTTCTGTTTGACCCACAGTGATGTCTATGCGCCCTGATAAAAAAAAGGAAGAAAAAAAAATAGGCATCAAACTGCAATCGGTTTTAATTCCTGCCCTCCTGCTAAGTCTGTTAAGGACCCCTTCCCAGATGGTGTCATTGTTTACCAAATTTCTCCCGTCTTCATCAGCCCTGATATTTAACCCTCTCCAAACCCCGTTTTGATGGATATTTTAATGTTTGTTTGATATTTGGTAAAAATGTGATTTAATCATAACTTCATTTCAAGAAAAAAAAAAATCTAATATTTTTCTGTCATTTAATCTTTTCGCCTCTGGACGTAGGCAGATACACAACTTATATATATATATATATATATATATATATATATATATATATATATGTATATATATACATATAAAAGTGAACATTGAAGTCAACACTCAGAAGCGAGAGGCTGTTTCATTCTAGACGCAATCGTCAGGCCGTTCACTTTTATATTTACACACAGTCTATCTCTGATATTGAGCACTTTATCACATGAATATAGCATACCTTAAAACTATATTTCTTCATATATATATATATATATATATATATATATATATATGTATATATATATATGTGTGTCTGTGTCTGTGTGTCTGTGTCTGTGTACAAATGGGGGAAAGAACAAATGGAGTAAAAATCCACAGTTCGTAGAATTTACTTTTTTAAAAAGTGCTCAATACAAAGTAGAGCAATCTATTATTATTATATTTTTATTATAAAAAGATTGTAATAAAAGCATTGTTAAATTACTGTACAAAAAGCTTTCATGTTTCAATACTATGATTGTACTTCCTCAGGCGATGGTAGGTAACTAGTTATGATATGATTTCTTAAGGATATTTAAAAACAAATCCTTCCCTCCTTTCCTAAAGTTAAGTGGGTGGGGGCATAAGTTTAAAAATTAAGAAAAAAGACTTATGGGTATGTCTCGATTAACCAATTAGATGTCAGATAGAAAATAGAAAAATAAGGTCAATGAGTGGGAGTGGTTGAGTTACTTTTTCATGTCACGATAAACCAGCATATTGACATGGCATCATCCTTGATGATTATGCAGAACATGACCTTGTAACCCCCACCACCTTTTAAACACGTTTTTCAAA